AGCAACTCCAATGGTGGGAGGTATGTTGGAGAGGTATATATCTCATTTACCTCTCCAAGTGATCAAGTTTACCTTTCCAAAAAATGTGCAACTCCAATGACGGAAGGTAGATCAAAAGGCAAAAGAAGGAAAAAATCAATCTCCATACATTATTGAGAAAAAATTAGTTGATTTACCTTCTTAAATCAAATTTTAATTATTAGAAAAGAAAATATACACTCTTAAAAAAATCATGGAGAGGTAAATTTGAGGTTTGTTTCCTTTGTCTCTTCTTGATTAAATTTTTAAATTTAAATATTTTATAAAAATACAACTAATTTATTGGGAAAAAAATTAGAATATCAGTTTTGAAATAATTAAATATACATTGTGTTTAATTGCACATGTAAAATTATAAATACCCGAATAGGAAAAACTAAAAAATACAGAGTGCAAAATTAAAAAAACAAAGTATCCTTTTTTTGTTAATTCTTGACTCGTTAAGTTTTACAATTACAAAGATACAAATTAAAAATTTATAATAATACATTCAAGCAAAAATACAATAACTAAAGTAATTGATGAAATAAATTTAAAAGGTGAGAAAAGTGGATATACCTCCCCAAATGAAGAAGGTAAAGATACCTCTTCAATATTGAAGAAGGTATAATACCTCCTTATTTACATCTCCCATTGGAGAATAATTTTTAATGAAAAGAGGTATATATCACAATTATTCATCTTTACCCTTTCATATACCCCTCCTATTGGAGTTGCTCTTAGGTGGTCATAATATTACATTGGGTTCGATCTCAAGATCAAAAGATCTTTGCTGTTTTTGAAGTGAAGAAAAATAGCTAGCCACAAATTAAAAGAAATCTTGATAATTGAAAGAAAGAAAAACACATATAGACATCAATCTCTTACAAAATACCCACTAAATAATATTCTCTGTGTAATGTGCATCAATTGAAAAAAAAAATGATCGATATCAAATGGTAACACATTACACCTATCTCTTTATGCCTCAAACATTTGGGGGATTGGACATGACTATGCTTTTTCAACGTCATCACTATCATCAGGGTCACCAGTAGTGCAATTAAAACTACCACAGTGAATAAATTTCTTGCAGTCCAAATAATCATTTCAAATGAACTGTGTTCATCGTAAATCCTAGTAATAAATTCCATTTACTCCATTTAAAAAGTAAGATCGATGAGCAAAAAATAGTATGAGTAATATTTTTTGATATTATGTGTTAGCGTTATTAGTATTATATTGAGTAGATCTTATTTTGAAAATAAAGCCATAAAGTCATATTTTGATTTTTCTATTTTAGTTTTTCTCTCTAAAAAAATATTGTTCCGGATAATTGTACTACAGCTAGTACACAAAATTAATCCTGTCGTCCTACAAAATATTTCCTGTTTTGTTTTTAAGAGATTTAAGAAGAATGTATTTTGGTGTTGATTTTCTAAAAATACCCTTAAATGTGATTGATAAAAGTAGATGTGATGAGTTGATTAGTAGTGAAAACGTGTGATGTGATAGATATGTTAAGAATTATTACGGTAAAAGTGATTTTTTAATAGAAATGATAAAAAAAATTTGGGCTAGATAAAAAAAAGAGAAAGGTTTTGTGGGAAGGGGGGGTATAATTAGTCGTAAAAATATTCTATAATTATTGTTCTGAGTATATTTTTTAGTATAAATATTCTATAATTATTGATAGTGTAGCATTATGGGTGTAAGTAGAAGAAAAATGCTAGGGGTACACCAAAGGTGTACCCCATATGTCCCCCACCCCTTCCTTGTCCACTAAAAAAGGCAAAAAATTTTTAAAAAAATAAGTAAATAAAAATCAAATAAAAATGTGTGGTGGAGAGGGGGTGGTGTACATTTGAGGTACACTTTTTGATGTACCACTAACATTGCTCTAAGTAGAAAGAATACAGGTAGCATTTTGCTAGAATCGTATGTATAGTAGCTTCCTTTAAAGTACTCCGATCCGTATAATTAGGTGATATATTAAAAAAATGGAACTTTATTTGATGAGTATTCTTGTTGGGCTCTCATTGGCTGATACCAAATTTGTAACAGACGCTTATTAAGGAGTATTAAAATATCCCAAAATTCCAAAAATGCACATATTATAAATTTTAAATCTCCTTTTCTTATTAAAAAAGTAATAAAAAAGTAGATTACTGATAAAATAAAAGGATATTATTCAAATTTATTTTTAAAGAATATACTAAGAAAATGGGAATAATATTTTCTGACGAGCTAAAAAGGAAAGTAGGAAGAACATTTTCGGACAAAAAAAGTAATTATCTATATATCGCATCACATATACAGTTGTTATTTGTGTGTGTCTGTGATACGCATAGTGTACTAATTGTTTCAAACCTTGGTGCTTTTTATTTTTATTTATTTTTTGAAAGCAAATAAATTAGAGGTATGTATTTTATTCATAATTTGGGGAAAAAAAAGTATATAGAGCAGTACACCGTAGCATCAAAGTTCAGGGGGGGATGAACTTGGAACCGTACAAAGGTCCACACTCATGTGAACCCCATCAACTTGCTTCTTATCCGAACCCCACATCACATACTCCTCCTATACACACACATACATATATACCCATCAAATTATATACTCTTTTCCACTTTTTAAAAAGATTTTATGAGTTTGATTTTCACGAAATTCTTTGAAAAAAATATTGGAAAATAAAAACATGTGGTTCAAATTTGATAAGATCAGACAAGAGAAAAAATTTTCGAGCCACACATTACGTACTTTTTTTGAGAAAAATTAGATTACGTAAAATACTTTTTTGAAATGAATTAATTCCTCCGTCTCTCAATGCATCGTTCACATGGTCAAATTTAAATAATTTTGACACATCTTATTTTGTACAACTTTTTATCTAATTTCTAATTATACAAATTCTATTTTTAAATTTTACACCTACGTACTAGACAATCAATAAGTTGAGTTGAATATATAATCTGTCAATCTTTGTAAAAAGAGGAAAGATTTTTTTTAGGGATATATACACACTGCACACACATACGACTAGATAGCTATTGCTTGAGCATTCACTATTCATTATGAAGAAAAATTATTTTAATTAAATGAGATATATGTACTCCGTTATTAAGTATGATTGTGGAACTAACTACAAGGTTATCTATTATGGTGCATGAGGACTTGATGAGGCTTGATTGTCTTTAAAAAAGTATGACGTGGAGTTATAGATTTAAGAAAAATGATTAAAATATGAGTAAAACTTAGAGAAAATTCTAAAATAAATAGTCTATAATTTTCATCTCAAAAAAAGAGTATAATGTCAATATATACTATCAAAAATACAGTAGGATGTCACTATACAGTCATTACAGTGTCATAATGTCATCGTACAAGTACATATTTTTGAAATAAAAATATGATACAGTAATTTTGAAATGTTTTACTCTCATTGTATATAATTTTTCAAATTAGTACCAAGACGATATAATTATGGAGAATTTATCTAAATAATACTAAAACATAGTAATTTTCCCAATGTAGTACCATATGTTTTTATTTCTTAATGTAGTACTATTGTTCAATGTCCACTAGTCATTGTTCAAGTAAATGTCTACCGTCATTGGACATTGTTCAAATTAGGGAAAAAAGCTTAAAGTATGAGTAAAATATTGAAAATATACCAAAATAGAAGTTCCGTGTTTTTATTCCCGAAATAGGAGTTAAAATGCATTTACATTACTAATCATGACCATGTACATTACGTAAAATGCAAATGTACAGTGCCACGTTACTACAGTGCAAACTTCTATCCAGAGAATAAAAATATAGACCTCTTATTTTGGTACTATTATATTTTAGTCTTACTTACGATGATTTCTTTTCAAACTAAATGTTTACCATGACTAGACATTATTTCCGCCACTAGACATTATTCAAGTACTATTTAGTATTTTTCCGAATTATTATTTTTTTATAGGAAACCTTATTAAATATGAAAAAAATAATTTTCATTTTTGTGGGATGATAAATATAAATAAAACTAAAAAAATCAATTTTATAAGTTTCGAAGTATATATTTAATTTTAGATTGTTGGAAATTTTTAAAAGTATATCACGTAAAAAAATATTTAATTTGTATTTATTTACTTTTTCATTCAAAAATAAGACTTATATTTCCATTTAAAAGTAAAAACAAATAGCTTGGTGTCGAATTCCAAATCAATATAATTGGTGACATGACTATTTTATGTTATCAAATCATCAATAAAAATGTATAAAAGAATGTAGATTTAGTTTGATCCTATAAATAGTAAATATGAGCCTTTATTTTGGGAGGAAGGAATATTATTTATTCATGGTAATTCCATAGTTATGTTATCAAACTATATATATATATATATATATATAGTTTGATAACATAACTATGGAATTACCATGAAGCGAAACACAATTTTTTTCAATTTATTTTATTTAAATATTTGTATAGAAACAAATAATAGGTTATTTATATTTAAAAATCACATTAAAAATTCTTCAAAATAAGACGTGGCAAGAATATTTTATTTTATCAAATAATCAATACGAAAACGTACAAATAAACTAAAATTTTCATAAATTTTAAAGAGTGATATGTGATATTCTTTTTTCGAACGTATGGAATAAAACTTTGTATGACATTTTTTCTTTCCCACCCATATTAAACAGCCTACCCACCCAAGGAACCATCTTAGCTCCATACCATATTAATTTATGTGTACTTGGGCTGACCCACCCTATCCATATCTCCATATTTTTCTTCAACATACACATTTTCAAACAACTTGGAGTAGTAATTTTCTATCAAGCTAAGCTAGCTAGCTACCCACCCTTATTGAATTTAATTAATAATCAAAAAAATAAATAAATAGTCATACGAAACCTGGGGCAGGTCTTACGTACGTGTGTGTCCACTTATATATAAACATGCTGCCCTTAATTCTCTCTATCACCAACGATAACCATTTTCAAAAACAAAAAAAAAAGGAAAACTCTCTCTCTCTCTCTCTCTCTAGAAATAGATCGATAAAAGTAGCTAGTAACAAAAACATGTATGGGAGTAGCGTAGATGAGAGCACCACTAGCGACTCCTTGTCGGCTACACTGACTTTGCCTCCGCCGGTCAAGTCTCCCGGCAGCGGCGGCAGCGCCATCATCGACGTGGACACCGGCGTGGAAGCCGAGTCCGGCCGGAAACTCCCCTCCTCGAGGTTCAAAGGCGTCGTCCCCCAGCCTAATGGCCGTTGGGGCGCCCAAATCTACGAGAAGCACCAACGGGTGTGGCTGGGGACGTTCAACGAGGAGGAGGAGGCCGGGAGGGTGTACGACATCGCCGCCCAGCGCTTCCGCGGCCGCGACGCCGTCACCAACTTCAAGCCCATCTCGGACACCGACGCGGGCGAGTACGAGGCGGCGTTCCTCAACTCCCACTCGAAGGCGGAGATCGTCGACATGCTCCGGAAGCACACCTACGCCGACGAGCTGGAGCAGGCGCGCCGCGCCTTCGCCGCCAGCAGCGGCGGCGGGGGCGTGCTCGGCCGCCGGAACCCGGATTCCGCCGCTGGCGGGACGGAGAGGTCCCGCGAGCGGCTGTTCGAGAAGGCGGTGACCCCGAGCGACGTGGGGAAGCTGAACAGGCTGGTGATCCCGAAGCAGCAAGCGGAGAAGCACTTCCCGCTCCAGAACGGCGGCGCCGTCACGTCGAAGGGGTTGCTCCTCAACTTCGAGGACGGGGGCGGGAAGGTGTGGCGGTTCAGGTACTCGTACTGGAACAGCAGTCAAAGCTACGTGTTGACCAAGGGGTGGAGCCGGTTCGTGAAGGAGAAGTGCTTGAAAGCCGGAGACATTGTGAGCTTCCACAGATCGACCGGACCGGACAGGCAGCTCTATATCGATTGGAAGGCAAGGAATGCGGGACCGGAGATCTCGACCGTTCCGGTTCATCCGGTTCAGGTGTTTAGACTCTTTGGGGTGGAGATTAGCAGCAGCGGCCCGCCTGCCCAAACCACTAATAATAATAATAATTATAATAATAACACTACGATGATCACTAATTGCAGTGGGGGAAAGAGGATTAGAGAAATGGAGTTTTTGCCATTATTGCAGTGTAGCAAGAAGCAAAGGATTGTTAATGCCTTGTGATATATAGATCAGAAGACACATTTTATTTCCTGAATTAGACACCCTCTTTTAAGTTCTTTCCTCAAATTTTCAACTAAACATGTGATAATTGCACATGTTGGGTGTCTAATCTTTGTTTTAAATATTTGAAATTATTTTTGTGTACACTAGTGTTGTTATTAAGAAAAAAGGTGGTTCTGAATTTCATAACTTCATATTGATCAATTTAACTTCAGTTTTAATTTTCCTATTTATTTTTCCAACGAATTTTACAAATTCTGAATTTTTAAAGATAACATTTTATAATTGAGCTTTGTTTCGAATAAGAAGTTTTTAATTCAAATCCAAGTGCAAATTTTCATTGTTTTTTAAGTACTCGAGTATAATATTTGAGTCAAATCTTGATTTTAAATCTAAACTCAAATTCTCAAACATATCATTGTAAATTTGTGTGATCGCAATTGATTTAAAAATGACAAAACAATACACAATACACAAATCTTTCCATACAAAGAAACGACCAAAAAAAGAAATTAAGATAACATTCTCAGACCCATAGACTATATGTTTGGGGTTTAAGAGCTACGGTGAATAAAAAAAGCCAAGAAACAGTGAATATATATTGCAACTTTTTTAAACTTTGATAAATTTCAAAAAATATACTCCGTATATCAATTGGATATAAATATGATTTCAATAAAATCTTTAAAATATTATTCCCACCTTCCCTTTTGAATCTTCTCATTTGAATTTTTTCAGTTTTAAATTTAACCTTTTGACCATTTATATCTTTAATTTTTATTTATAGATTGATATATATTATAAAAATGAAATATTTAAAAACTATGAATGTTTCAAAATGATTATATTGATATTAAATTTACATAAATATTCAAAATATTTTTTAGGTAATATGATGTTGACCGGTGGTTCACCGACGATTGACACATTATACTTTCATATCACATCGTCATCACTCTTAGCTTGGCTTACATCACACTGTCATTATTACACTTCTATTTAGAGATTTAAACCAGATGACTCTTATTTTTGTATTTTATTTAAGCTTTATTTATATCTATGAAGATTACTTTTGAGGTAAAAAAATTATTTTATTAATCTTACATCAACAAAATAAAATTTGTGAGAGAAAGCTCGTGCGGCATACATTGTGAACCTTAAGTTCATGATAGTAGATATTTAAACTTTATTTTGAGGAGGGAGTAAAAAATGTGATGTATAGTAGATATTTAAACTTTATTTTGAAAATTAATATCATTATATATATAAAGTGGATTGAAAATAAACTCAATTAAAGTTTATTGTTTAAAATAAAAGAAGGGAGAAAGAACAAACTAGGACTGAAACATTGAAAATATACCAAAATAGGACTTCCATGTTTTTATTCTCGAAATAGGACTTACATTACCAAAACATGGTCATCTACATTACCAAAAAGTATAGTAATGTGAACATGTACAGTGTCACATTACAACCACATTACCACAGTGTGAAGTCATACTTCAGAAAAAAACATGAAAGTCCTATTTTGATATTTTTCTCTATGTTTTAGTTCTATTTAAGATGATTATATTTCTAATAAAAGAATAAATCAAGACGATGGGAGCTGAATTATTAATTACAAAATAATAAATAAGTCATCCTCAACAGTAGTAAAACAATGAGAAATATCAAAATAATAGTTCCATGTTTTTATTTTAAAATTGAAGTTTGCATTATGATAATGCGACATTATATACGTATTTCGTAATATTTTTTGATATTATATATAGACATATAGTCATGACTAACATTATATATGCAGTTTATCTATTTTTTTGAGAATAAAACATAGAACTTCTATCTTGATATATTTTCTATATTTTACCCTATGTTTTTGTTACCCCATATGAATATAGTTACTCTATTATTTTTAGCATTGCGATAAGAGTAATAATAATTAGTGCATGTGATTAACAATACTAAATCAGAGATAAGAGGCGCATGCATATGCCCGAGTATGTTCATACGACTATATGCTTTTTTGGAGCAAGTGGATATTCTCTCCCTCTCCAATTAATATTCTTTTAAATTTCAAAAATATTATGATGTTAAAGTAAAAAAAGAGACTAAATTTGTTTTACAAAGAAATATTTTAAATCATATATTTCATTATAAAAAATTGAAAAAATAATGTTGAGATAAAGGAATAAAATGTTTTATGCTTGATCGTCAATGGAGCTAAAAAGAGTCATTATTGAGAACCTTTTAGTTTTGGAAACATGATTAACAAGAATTGATTTTTGTTAATGGCAATCCATTAACAAAAATCAGCCGGTGGACAAGCACTACTAGAATTCTAGAAATGTATTCGAGTTCGAATTCTCGCAATTATTTCCAGAGACAACTATTCTAGGCATCAATCTACAATCTTTATCATCAATGTGTGATCAAATTTCAGTTTACCTTCTTTTAATTATCAATCAAAGTCAACTAAATTATCGGAGATGTGACTCATCTTTTTTAAACCAAAATGAAAAAAAAAATCATGGCTTCCTACTTTCCGTGCAAGTTAATTAATTTGGAGCCTTAAATTAAATGAAGCAATGATGCATGTACAGTCTAAGGAAATTAAAACAATTCCCCTTTTTTTTCTTCACAAATATAACTATATTAGACTAGTTACATCCTGATTGTGGCACTTTAATTTTGCACATATAAGAAAAAGAGTAAATTCTCAAAATAATACTCAATAATTATGTTTTTTTTTCAAATTAGTTCTCAAAATTAACTAATTTTCAAGATGGTACTCGTTAATTAAAAATAATGTTAGTTTAGTCCTCCGACTAACGCCATTAAAACGGGGTTAAAACGATGTTAAATTTTGTACTACTTTCCCAAAATGGTACAATCTAACTCGATATTTTCTCAGATTGGTCCATTTTCGATATAAAATTACATTAATTATACAAAAAAATAGTTTAATTTATATAGGATGACAATATAATATTTAAAACTATAAATGCAATTTTATAAATTTATTAGCAAATATTTTCAATTATTTAGAAGAATAGCATGTAACTAAAATGTTTAATAATTATTGCTAAAAGAATCACCCTAACTATGAGTAAAACATAAAGGAAGTACTAAAATATGAGCTCTTTCTCTATTTTACTTCTATTTAGGGAATTTTCTTCAACGTTTATTAAATATTTTTTTACATGATATTCTTTTAAATAATTGTTAACAATCTAAAACGTTACTTTCAAATGTATAAAATTATATTTATAGCTTTTAGTATTATATTATCATCCCATAAACTTTAAAATATTTTTTCATAATTAATGTATTTTTATTTTGAAAATGAACCAATTTGAGAAAACACCCGGTTAGAAAGTACCATTTTGGTAAAGTAGAAAGTAGTATAAGGTTTAACATCTTTTTAACGTCGTTTTAACGGTCATTAGTCGGGAAGACTGAACCAGGCATAATTTTCAATTACCGAGTATCATTTTAGGAATTGTTTAGTGTTGAGGACTAATTTGAAAAAATACATAGTTATTGATCGAGTAACATTCTCAAAATTACTCTAAGAAAAATATTGAAAAATAAGAAGTGAATGAATGAAGTTTATTTGAATGAAAAAGAAGATTTGTGAACCGTGTATTCTTCACTTTAATCTATGAGGAAAATAAATAAATTCAGAGGGTGGATATATAGGTAGGCACCATTATTTAATTGAGCTCATGTCCCAAATATGGGAGAAGTATGTGAAGATAGCTAATCTTTTCCACTAGTGGCCTACAAAGATTAGATCTAACAAAAGAAAGATCGATGAAATAAAGGATATGAGATTCTCTCTATACCAATTATCGTACACTCCGTTCATTCCTAATTTATGGAAACAATTTGATTTTACGTCTCTAATATGGAAACATATCTTTTATTTTATTAAAAAAATTAAAAAATTGTGTAAATTTTTCTTGTATAACCAAAAAAAAATCAAAGTATATGAATTTATTGAGTGTGGAGAGAGTAATTAATTAGTTCCAACCAAAATGGTACAGAGGTACAATATGTAGTACTGTATTTTTTATTCATTTGAAAAATCTAAGAAAAACTATTCAAAATTAAAGTTTATAAATTTTTCATTCATGTATAATGTCCAGGCGAGGCTTGAGATGGGGATGGGCACTTTATTTTATCTCAAAGAAATACACTAATAACGCCCAATTTTTATTATTTTTATTTATTTTTTTAATTTTGAATTTATTACTTTTATTTATTTATTATTATTATTTATCTATTTTTATTAATAAATAAATATTTGTATTAAATTTATATAAGTTTGGTTTTTTATATGTTTTTTTAAATGCATTCTATTTTTAAAAAATTAGAATAAAAAATGATGAATAATGTTAAAAAATGGAGATGCGGCAAATTTTAAAGACGATAATATTACCAGATTTTGAGAGCCGCGGAAAATTAATGAAATGATGATATGGGATCAGTTGGGCTATTGCGCGATTGAAAATGCTGTTACAAGCACTATGCATATGTTACTCCTATTATGTTTGCACTATTTCTGTCATTGAACAAGCAAAAAAAATGAAAATTCAGTTTATGATATGATGTGATTTTAAAAGAGTTATTCATTCATTATTATTCGAAAAGACACACTGACACGAATATATGATGCATTACACATTAACCGATCCCAATGGAGTTTGGACCTATTTGCCCGACCTGATGTTAAGTTGTTAACACATTTTTAAGTAATGAATAGTTAATTGACTTTAAGTTTGTCTAATTCACTTTTCATGTTTTTCAATGTAACATTTTAGGGAGATGCTAGGGTACACCTTTCCATTTGTACATCACCCCCTCCATAATCACTCATTTATTTTTTATTTTTATTACTTAATTTTTTTAAATTTCTTGCCTATTTAAGTGGTAATGGAGGGGGTGGGGGACAAATGGGGTACACCTTTGGTGTACCCCTAGCATTTTCCAACATTTTAACATTAATATTTTTATTTATAGATATAAATATATTTTAAAAATCTATGAGTAATATTTCAAAATTAAGTTTCAAAATGAACTTATTAATATTAAGAAAGCCATTATGTTTTAGTCCTATTTCGTGTAAATTTCACTATTTAAATATATATGGAGTATATAACAATTCAACATATTTTGTTACGTAATTTGTGCTCAAAATTTGATAAAGTTACTTTGAAATTAAATTGGGAAGTTTCAAAAGAGACGGGAGTAGTTAATAAAGAGGGAGAATAAACATCTTAATTATGAGTTGACAACATTTTAGTTTGTGGACATTGTAACACTGCGTCTCCAAGGAGTATATACCTGTTTACCTATGACAAAAGTAGTTTTGGTTTCTTAATTTCTACATATTTGGTGTTTATTCTATGATAATGAAATACTCCGTACTAACTATGATGTATTAATTAATGATAATGTTTTAAATAAGTTGTTTTTCTTGTGTATTATACTCCCTTCGTCCCAATTTCTATTTCAATTTTGTTTTTTCTCTCTCCACTCGATAACTTTTATTTATTTGTGTATTTTTATTGATTATTTGATAAAATAAATTACTTTTGTGAACTCTTATTTTGTTGAACTGTTGACGTAGTTATTTCATATGTAATTTTTATTTTTATTGATGTAACATTTTGTAAATAAAACAATTTCAAAGTCGTGAGATTTTACCTCGCAATTCCCAATTTGTAATCAAAATTGGGACGGAGGGAGTATCAAAGAGCAATCAAACAATTTGGTCTTGTTCATTGTATCTCATTTATCACATACCTTGAGGGTTAATCTCTTTTTAATTCCCCAACCTATTTTGAGCTATGTGTGACTTGATCCTCTTGTTGAGGTACATAGGCAATTTACTGAATTTAGAATATTTTGTTTCTCTAAGTGCAATCATAACAACAAAATTATTCATTTTTATCCAACTTCCAACAGTACAAGTGGCATTTTTCTTGTAATGTCAAAGGCGAAAACTGGAAGAGCGAAAGAGCTTGACCCTAACATTTTCAGTATTATTTATGGTACTGTAGTCTATATTATAATGTATTATTTGTTCACACATACGTAGCGAAATAAAAAGATACACAAAGAGTCTATATTACAAAGTATTGTTGCAAAACTTGTAATGAAGTCTTACAAGCTTAGAATTAGATGAACATTCATGTAAAGGAGACTGCAGGCAATGAACTTGGATCATTCTCTTTGGGCCTAATGTATATTTTCTTTACATACTCCTATATATGGCTAAGCCATTCCATTGCTTATACTTATTGTGGAGAAGGTATATAGGCCCATCAATCCATCATACTGTATTTTTTTCATTATTCATTGGGCAAATAAATAAATACCAATTTAAATTTTTTTTTCTTCCTCATTTCTCTATCCAATATATCTCTTTCTTCCATCAAATCAAATACAAAATTAGAAAATCATATATTTTTTTGTTTATATTAATATTCTTGCTGAATCAAATGAAGAAATTATGAGCCGTGGAGATTAGTTGTTTAGTTTAGCTTCTTTTAAATCTTTGGCAAGTGTCATCAAAGTCATAATTTGTTTGGAGTAATTTGAAACGTTTATCAAAGAAAATAGTTGTTTTCTTAAATCTTTGGCAAATTTCAAACAGGTTTGGAGTAATATTTATTTCAACGAATTGCACTTCCGTAATCCTAAATTTCACATGAAAAATGTAGATTTTTTTATTTTTTATGGGCTTACAAGTAAATAATCTAACTCTTACATGATATTTTTGAATGTTATTGACTCTACTGGACTCTAACCTAATAAATTTTCTCATGAATATTGGGGGGCTTTCTTCTACTCAAGCCCGGAGAAAAGTTCACTCTTACATGATTTTCATGTATTAAGATCCCATAAAATAAATATAAACTTAAAGATCACATAAAAGTTTGTCGATTTCAACATGTTTTATTTTTTTCAAACTCCTTCAAATTGTGAAATTTTTTCCTAGATTAAATTCTTAAAATAGCTCTTTCTAATAAGGTATTTTTCTAAATTAATCCTTAATAAGCAATAACTACCAATATGATTTTTTCTAATTGAGATGCATTCATTAAGTTATCCTCTATCAAAAATGCATATTAAATGATAATTAAATAGAAGATACTTTTGTATTTTTCATCGTCTAAACTGTGAATAAGTCTTCAAAATAATTTTTTCAAATTATGCAGGTAGCTGCTTGAAGAACATATCATTCCGAGTAGGTTCATGGAGTCTATTTTGGAAAAACATTCACTTAAAAATTATCAATTTAAAAAAAAAATACTTAATTATAAAAGAACATTTCTAGATGATAGAAAATACCAAAATATTCTTAGATTGAATAAATATTTTTTGCAAATGACTATTTTAAAAATAAATCTCAATTACAACAAATCATGTTAATAATTACTCCGTATTACTTATTGAAGATTAATTTAGAAAAACATCTTATTAGACAAGTTCAAACTCTTTTTAATTTGTTCAAGTTCTTTTTAATTTGTTCCAACTTTCAATCTAGACAAGTTCAACGAAAAATAATGTGAGGCCAACTAGATTCATTTCAATTCTAGATAAATTACACTTGAAAAAACTCCAAGTGATATGGTTAAAAAGAAAATGAGTTATGAAAGATTGAAAGAATTAAAATGCCGATGAGACAAATGCAAAGGGTAAGCAATTGGTCACACAGATGCCGAACAATGAGTCTCTCAACAGGAAAAAAAAAAAGAGAGGAAAGAATTACAGCTTTGTTCGTCCTAACAAAACCATCAAATTTTCTTCCAAACAGATAAATAAAAATTACACAAAGAAAAATGCCCTCCCTGTAAATGGCAGAGACAACACCAGACAGCTCTTATTTATGTGGGCGATGCAATTACATGTCTGCAAGAATGCCGCAGGAGTTGAAGACTGTGAAGGATTGCAATTCATCAATAGTCCATGCCGCCCATTCCGCCACCACCCATGGCGGGAGTATCCTTCTCCTCCTTGGGAAGGTCAACCACCACCGCTTCTGTGGTGGTCAATAGGGAAGACACGCTTGCGGCATCAACCAACGCCGTTCTGATCACTTTCAACGGGTCAATAATTCCAGCCTTGACCATGTCAACATATTCACCTGTTCCAACCAAAACCATACACTTTAACACACATGGCGTATTTTTTCTATGCGAACCAGAATAGTTGGTAAAGGGTGAAGCCATGTGTCTAGCATAGTTGCCGCACCATGCATTTGACAAGAATTAAACTCGAATTTACCCCATTTGACCATCTGACACCATTGCTCAACCAGCTGAGCTACACCCACAAGCACGTATCTTTCTTATGTGATGTTACCAAAGGAGGGATTCAAGATTTTACCTTTTGCGGCATCATAACCAAGATCAGGGTTTTCTTGCTCCAACAACTTGCCAACCACAACCGCACCCTCTACTCCGGCATTGGCCGCAATTGTATACACGGGTGTCTGCACAGAGAACAACTTGTGTGGTTAGTTAGACAAATGGGGCTTTGGTCAAACGGCAAACAGTTAACTCTCCTTTCCTTTATTCCAACTTTCTGAAATTTTACTAACTTCTTTTTCATTGTGATTATAACACCATTACTTATAATGCAAGTTCCTATAATATCAGGCCTGCCGAGTAATGCAACAAACCTTGAGGGCATGCTGAATAATCTGAACACCAACTCTCTGATCAAAGTTGGCAGTGGGTAGCTTTTCCAATTCTTTGGATGCATAGAGAAGCGCAACACCGCCACCTGGGACAATTCCCTCTTCAACGGCGGCTTTTGTGGCATTTAAAGCATCGGTGACTCTATCTTTCTTCTCACCAACCTCTGCTTCACTTGCACCTCCAATCTGCAATTTTGGCATTAAAAATGAAGTTAAATTATGTCACATTCATTCACTCTTATGTTTCAAAATAACAAAATAAAAATTACTTGAAGGTTCATCAATTTTACGTAGTAATTATTATACTTAAACATTGTTTTTCAAAAACTATCTAAAAATTTCTTAAATGTTGGACAAGTAACTAGAACAAGAAAAAATAACATCTTGTAGAGCTAAAACAGGCATACTTTTAAAACGGCAACACCACCAGAGAGCTTAGCTAATCTTTCTTGCAACTTCTCCTTGTCATAATCGGATGTGCTCAATTCGATTGCTGACCTAATCTGGCAGCATAAAAATCATGATGAATATTAGCATTATAATCAGACACAAAAATGTGAATGTGGAAACCAGTAACTTCAAACACAAACCTGTTCACATCTTTCCTCAATAGTCTTCTTCTCCCCTGCGCCATCAAGAACAACGGTGTCATCTTTTGAAACAGTGACCTGTAACAGTAAGCATCAATTAGTATCAGTGACCAAAGAATTGATGAGAAAAAAAGCATTTTGAGAGCTCAACCCAAGGATGTTTTACCTTTTTGCATGTTCCAAGCAGTTCAAAATCAACATTTTCAATGTTCAACCCGAGCTCTTCAGTTATAACCTGAATTAATTAATGTAATGCAAAGATGTTTTTCAGGGCAAAAAGCATGTGACTTATATAAAGATCAATAATGTGAGTAGTTCTCACCTGGCCACCGGTTAGAGTGGCAAGATCTTGAAGATTTGACTTCCTATTTTCTCCAAAGCCAGGGGCTTTTATGGCACAGACCTAAATGTATTGCCGCATATAAGTATGGTCACATAATTCAAAGATTAAAAACTGGAGAAAACCACTACAAAAGCCTCTTGGCATTTAGATGATATACCTTGATCCCAACACGAAGTTTGTTTAGGATGAGTGTTGCAAGTGCATCGCTATCTACATCTTCAGCTACAATCAACAGTGGTCTTTGCTTCTGCCATTGTGCAATATACCAAAAACAATGATTTTAAATAAAGTCATAAAAGAATTTTAAAATATGGCAATCCGGGGCATCATCCTTTATGCTTTGAAATACAATAATTAAGCTTACCTTCAAAGCCAACTCTAAGATTTTCACAATAGCATTTAAGCTTGATATTTTCTTCTCGTGGATTAGAATGAGAGGGTCATCCAACTCCTGCAAATTTGAAAGAGTAGCAAAGAGATATGTTTAGCAGCAAATACTTTAATAGGTTAGTTATACAAATTCGCAAGTCCTGCAAGTAACAAATGATTATAAATAGTACACCAAACACCAGAGTCTAGCAACTTACACATTTCTGATTCTTCTGGTTTGTAATGAAATACGGAGAGATGTAGCCCCTGTCTAGTTTCATCCCCTCCACAACTTCTAGCTCATTGAATAAGGTCTTCCCATCCTAGAACAAAACCAGATACCAAGTTATTTTTAGACTTCAGTCCCAACATATTGTAATTATTACAGAAACAAAAGGTCATGAGATAATAGTTATCATTCTGTGATGAGATTATGTGGCCTTTAATTGATACTCTCTCCATCCCATAATAATCTTCCTAGTTTGACTTTCATATAGTGTAAGAAAAGTGTAAAAAAGTTGAAAGTATTGTTTAGATGAGAAATTTTTTTTTATGGAACCGAGGGAGTATCAACTAAAACCTATTCCCATAGAAAGCTTACATATCAAGAAGGATGAAATACTACAGATGAATTTAAAATAAAAGGAAAATACAGTGATAGTATAACTTTGATGTAAAAAGTGATGATTGAAAAAACAATCAAGAGCACTTACTTGAATTGTGATTACACCTTCCTTTCCAACTTTCTCCATAGCCTTGGCAATTAGCTCCCCGATCTCTCTTTCTCCGTTTGCGGAGATTGTTCCTACCTGTCAGCACAAAAAGTAGAGTAGTAATTTGCACATGTTTCCGAATATATAAACTCTATAAATATAAAAGAGCAAAGACAAATGGCAATGAGATATATCACTGGCTGTAAGTACAGAAACTTTCACATGAATACTCATAGAAATTCAGAAATACAGCACTTAAAGCAAGTGGTCATATACCTGAGCAATTTCCTCAGATGTGCTAATCATGCGTGCTCTGCTCTTCAGATTTGTTACAACAGCATCAACAGCCATGGAAATACCACGTCTCAGATCCATTGCATTCATACCAGCTGCAACAGACTTGCATCCTTCAGCAAATATGGCTCGTGTGAGAACCGTTGCACAGGTTGTACCTATAATTTGTCGGGAAAGATCCAATCTAAACTGTTAGCATATCTAATCTAAACTATATTATTGCTGTAAATTCACAATGAAAGAGAAACAAAGCCAACATGAAAGCTATGTTTGACTCACCATCGCCGGCAACATCATTGGTAGCATTAGCAACTTGTTTTACAAGGCTCGCTCCAACATTTTTTACTTTGTGGCTGAACTCTACACTTTTAGCAACAGTAACACCATCTTTTGTTACTTTTGGTGCACCCCAGCTTTGTTCAATCACAACATTGCGTCCCTTAGTTACAAAAACAGTCAACACATATACTTAATAAGCATGTTAAGAATACATTAGAAGAAACTATATACGTGAAAATACATAACCAAGCCTTGCAAAAGAGGATAAAATGATGGGTGCAGCCATTCACTCCTCTTTAAACTTGTTATCAGAGAACTAACCACTAGATAAGCTAATAATATTTCAGTTTTGAACCTACCCACACAAATGTGTCATGATAGAGCTTGAAACGATAGAAATTGGGCAATCCAAAAGTACTGGTCATACAAAGGGTGTATTTGGTTCAGCATAGACATACAGAACTTTTCAATATAAGGTAGCGTGAGCAACTAGCTGTAAATTGAAAAGGTAGAACTCAACATTGCAATCCAAATAAGAGCATCTTTTCTCTAGACCCTCAAAAGCTCAAATTTTGGGCATTCAAGATTTTAAGAAAAAGTTGTTCATCAGAAAGTAAGAAAAACAATCATGTTGAAATGCTGTTAACACATTGTTCTTCCAAAGTGTAAATACACCCGAGAAAAAAATTAGTCCATATAAAAATAATCCTAAACCCTACCAAAAAAGCTCTCATGTTCAACATGCACGGACAAACTTCCCATCGTAAGTTTAATTATTTAAAACACATAAAGTTATCAACTTTAGAGTAAGAGGTTCAAGAGTCATCAAGGATCACACCGATGAGGTAAAACCAACATAGTGTATAGATTGAACCAAATGGTGCTGCTGCCCTAAACAATTGACAAGGTAAACACACTTTTTGTTGAAGAAAGATTATACCTTTGGACCCATGGTGACTTTAACAGCATCAGCGAGCTCTTCTACTCCCTGAAGCATCAGGGCTCGAGCCTCGACTCCAAATCTAATATCTTTAGCAGCATAGTTTCTGTTCCAACTTAACCTACCACTTACCTGGATATCAAAGATTCAATTCAGGGACAAATCAATGAAATACAATGAGAAACGGATGAACTCAATCCGATCTATACAACTAAACAAGAAATTACCTGTGGACCGCAGTTCTTGGCGACTCTGAAACACAAAGAAAATTCGGAAGTTCAGAGACTTGCAGATTGCGAAACTACAGAAAGTAAATTGAGGAGAGGACTGACCTGGCCTTAGAGGCAAGATTTGCTGCGAAGCGATACATGGCTTTATTGAGAGATTTGATGCCGAGAAGGAGAGATAGTCAAAACAAATGCGGGGGTAGAGAGCAGCAGAACAGAACAGAACTGAGGATGATGATGATGAGCAGTGGAGGCGTATATATTGTAAATGCAGAGAGAAGAAGGGTCTAGACGCTTCTAGGGTTTTGGGGGTTTAGAGTCGGGGGGTTTTGCTCTCCTTAACAGAGGAGAAAAAATGCAAAATTACTATTTTACCCTCTTTCTTTCATTGTACTCCGTAATTTGTTAAGTTGAAGGAACCCCTTGTTCTGGTCTATTCTCCTCCGGCCAGATGCTTCTTCAATTGTTGCTTCCCTTATGCCTGCTCCGCCGTGTACTCCCTCCTGCTCTGCTGCGCTCCTCCCAGCTGCCATGCCAGGTCCTGCTCCTCTACCTTAGCTGGAGTATTCATTCAATCTTGATTTTGATTTTGTAGTACTTTTTAGATTTCAAGTATGTATATATTCAATTCAGATTTAAAAAAATAAATAAAATATGGATGTACTCACTTTAGATTTTAAAATATCCTTATTCTAATCTAATCATATTTAAAAATAAATAAATTTTAAAAGATTTTTATAAATTATGGGTTTGATAAATTTTGAGTTTTAGGTATAAATTGAAATCTAAGTCCAAAATTTAACCAAAAATGCAAAGATTTTGGACTCATCTCCTTCCTTATAGGCCACTACCTCCCTTCACCGAATTCTCAACCCGTACTTCTCTATCAGCGACTACATGTAATGGCCTCTAGGTGACGGCGGGTCTTCGTCTCCGAACTGCTCCGTCTCAAAGGAGATCATATCCCTCAAAGGAATCATTGACTTTCATTGTCCTATGGTCTACAACAAGGTAGGTTTCTCCAAAGTTTCTGCTTCCATGGAGGTGCTGAGTTTTCTGTTAGCGTAGACCGTCTTTGCCATGAGTAAGGCACGAAAAGCTACCAAAAAAAACTTCTTTGTCGCCCAAGAAGAAGAAACCTGAAGTCCAAATTGAAGATTCGGTCAATGTCCCCGTGAGTGATTTTAAAATTCCTCGAAGATGTAGAAACAGAGGATGCAGAAACTAAAGAATCTGAGGGTGCAAGTGAAAAGGATGAGAGCTCTTCTACGTCTAGTGAGGAGTCTGACTCTTCCTCTGTGAAAACATAAAAAGGTATTGTCAATGAACTAGGGTAAGAAAGCAAGAGAGCGCCTGCCCTCCAGGTGTTTGATTAAAATCCTGAACCACCAAAGAAGGCAGAAGAAAAGAAGAAGCCATCTTACGCCTCCTTTTTCTGAAAGAACATGAATGATACTAATGGTATGAAGCTCTTGAAGGTTGAGCAAGCTGATCCTCATAGAGTTATCATCAGGGATGAAGTTGTGAAATCAATGGAGGAGGTATTTTTGTCTTTACATTGAAGTAAATGAGAGGTGTAAATGCAAATAGGAAAGGGTATTTTTGTCTTTACACTGCCTTTTTTGGGTTTGGGAAGGTATTTTTAAGACGGGAAAAAAAGAGAATTGAGAAGATGGTTTTAGGACGGATGGAGTAATAATTATAATCATAATAGTAATAGTAATACCAATAATAATGGTAATGATAATAATAGTAATAATTATAAAAATAATAATATTAATTGTGTTTAGATCTGGTATTATCTAATCTGATCTGATTGGATCTGATCGGATCTGACCTGATTTGATCTGATTTTAATAAGAATATGTAATAAGAAGAAAAAATAAATTGAATGAAACACTGGCATAGAATTGTTTATTGAGGTTCTAATGAGGTTCACATTTGAAATACTACTTCCGTCCCACTCTTTTTGTCCAGTTTTGACTTTTGGAACTGTTCATCTAAGCACTTTGACTCATCAAATTCTTTCAATGTGTAAGTCTAAAAATAGTCATGTGTGATCTTGTTTGATTTGTCTTAATATATAGATTATTAATATATAATTTTTATAATTTTTTAATATACAAATTACAAGATAAAATGGATTAAAGAAGTGCATTGGATGGTGTGCAAAAATGAAAGTGGACAAAAAGAGTGGGACGGAGGGAGTATTAACTTTTTCACTTACTGCGTATTTTTTTATGAGTTCATAGTTAGATTTCTATATTTCAACAAGGCCCAATATATATGACAGTATTGAGGTCCATAAAGTAAGAATAAACCTAACAAGTACAAAGGAATTTGCCTATGAGGTAACAAAGTTTAAATCCATTTACATAAAATACTACTTCCTCCGTTCCTTAAAACTCTTCCTCTTTCATTTTTTTCCAATTACCTAAAACACTTCTTTTTTATATTAAAAAACCACTTTTAACCCTACATTTTCATACCATACCTATCACATCATTCACGAATAACCAAACTATCATACTTTACTTTTACTCATCACATCAGGGGCAAAATTAGAAAGTAAACCAAAATTATACTTTTCTTAATTTGGCTAAAAGTCAAAACAGGAACCTTTTAAGGGAAGGGAGGGAGTAAGAGTTTTATACTCTTATTAAAAATGAAACAATAAACGATATACCGGAGTATAAAGGATTGCACATTTTTTCCACATCAGAGACAAAATTGGCTTGCAACACATCACACATGACACATGCAGTTTCTTGTTTGGTATAAATTCGATACTAGCTAGCATACATGAAACATCAAATATTGGCCTTGTTTGGAAAGATCCTTTTCAATTAGTGTTAGTGTTTTGAATGAAATCTTAACGGTTTAGATAAACTTTAAAAACACTAACACTAAACGCTACTGTTAACATTTTCAAAACGCTAACGCTAACATCTAACACCGATGTCAAACAGGGTTATTACTCCCTCCGTCCCTGAGTGTTTGTCCACTTTCATTTTTGCACACCATCCAATGCACTTCTTTAATCCATTTTATCTTGTAATTTGTATATTAAAAAATTATAAAAATTATATATTAATAATCTATATGTTAAGACAAATCAAACAAGATCACACATGACTATTTTTAGGCTTACACATTGAGAGAATTTGATGAGTCAAAGTGCTTAGATGAACAGTTCCAAAAGTCAAAAGTGGACAAACACTCAGAGACGGACCAAGTATCTACAAGGAATAGTAAAAAATTAAAATTGCAAGCGCGTTTCTAAAAAGAGAGAAATCAGAATAAGAAAAGTTACATTTTTTCTTTGGGGACAAGATGAACATAATGCTTTAGTGATTAACACGTAAACGTAAAATACTCGTTTTGTCCTAAATATTGATAAACAGTGATTAAAACCGCCAGATTAAAATTGACTAGAGGAAAGAGAGATATTGTGAACACCGTATTTCTTTTTTTAAAAAATGAGAGAAATCTAAAATCTATTTTTAAAATTCATTTTTGAATTTCGAAACAAAGAGAGTGAAAAAAGTAAGAATTTATCTCCTGTCTAAAAAATACCGTAATATTTACATTTTGCTTTTTTGTATGAATTTTACAAAATTTGACCATGATTTAATTTGTAGGAAAAATAAATTTCTTAACAATGGATATTTGATATAGTCCCTCAATCTAAAAACAATTTGACATTGCGATATGTTTATGATATGAGGAATTTACTTAAATAGCACTAAAACATAATGACTTTCCCTAAATAGCACCACATGCATGTGTTTTTTTCCCAATGTAGCACTTTTAGTCATTATGCATTAGTCATTATTCAAATAAATATTTGCCATCACAGGACATTATGGACATTACTAAGTGTTGTTTAGGGAATAAAACAATTTAAGTGCTATTTAGAGAAATGACTTAAGTTTTAGTGCTATTTAGTGCAAATATTTCTTATGATATTTAACTAAAGATATTCAGTTTATTTCAATATCGGTATAAAATTAAAAAATAAAATTTATGTATTTAAAAAGTTATACTCCGTATAGTTGAAGAGTTCCACAAAACATACACGAGGTGATATAATTATATTATTTTTTGAAATAAGTAATGAAAATATGCAAAGAAAAAGAGAATAATAAAATTTGAAACCTAAAGATAATGAGGGAGTTGATTTTAAAATGTACTCCATATTGATAGTATATTTGTATGTTTAAAGAAGTATTTGCACTAAATAATAGTAAAATTTAAGTAATTTTCCTAAATAACACTTAATTTTTTTATTTCCTAAATAATACTACCTCCGTCCCAGAGTATTTGTCCACTTTCATTTTTACACACCATCCAATACACTTCTTTAATCAATTTAATCTTGTAATTTGTATATTAAAAAATTATAGAAATTATATATTAATAATCTATATGTTAAGACAAATCAAACAAGATCACACATGACTATATTTAGGCTTACACATTGAGAGAATTTGATGAGTCAAAGTGTTTAGATGAACAGTTTTACAAAAGTCAAAAGTGGACGAATACTCCGGGACGGAAGGAGTACTTAATAATGTCCATAATGTCCTGTGATGACAAACTTTTACTTGAAAAAAACACATGTGATGCTATTTAGAAAAAATCATTATGTTTTAATGCTACGTAAATTTCTCATGTTTAAATAGGTAGTGTATTTAAAACTCCCTCTGTCAATAAAGCGTGACTACCCAAAGTAAATTTAGACAAATATTCAAAAAAGATATTTTTGGAAGAAAATGAATAGCAGGGGTATATTTGATGTGTGAATTCATGCAATAAAGCGTGCATATTTCAAACTTGTAATAATCCATCCATTGTGTTAGACTCCGTAATGAACGAGCTGATGATAACGAGGAGTAAAATAGTACAGTATGAACTAAAGAAAATTGAGGAGGAGGGAGAGGACTTTTGAAATGGCGGTCGTGTTAGGGAATTGAATCTGCAGTACGTACTATACTATACGTAGTCTTCCATTGCTATATAAACACTACGTACAGGTTGGTTGCATATATCCATGACAGATCGACCGACCGCCGTTTTATAACATCCATATATATATATATATATATATATATATATATATATATATATATATATATATATATATATATATATATGACAATGGCGATTAGTCTTTCACGGATGCACCTCTGCGCCGTCGTCGTCTTGGGCTTTTTTGGCATTGCCTCCCGGGCAGCAACGGCGGGCGGCGTACAAATGACATCGTTCAATGTAATGGGTTCCCTCCAGAAAACACTCGACGTCTTCTCCTCCTCCTCAGCCTCCTCCTCCTCTGTCCCGGAGGAGAGTAGTTTCCAGGAAGATACTCTCTTTTCTTCTTCTTCTTCTTCTTCGGAACACTACTCGTTCGAGTTGCATACTCGATTGTCGGTTGGGAAAACAGTGGAGGGGGCGGAGGATTACGGGTCGCTGGTGGCAGCTCGACTGGATCGCGACTCGGCCCGAGTGCGGTGGCTTCAGACTCGCGCAACCGGCGAGCGGGAAGAGGAGGAGGAAGAGAAGGAGGAGGAGGAGGAGGAGATTAATTCATCATCATCGGGACCTGCTGCTGCGAGGGTGCCCATTAAATCGGGGGTGAGTGAGGGTAGGGGGGAATACTTCGCCCGGCTTACAATAGGCAGCCCAGGGAGGGAGTATTACCTGGTTGCCGACACGGGGAGTGACCTTACATGGCTCCAGTGCCTTCCTTGCTCCTCTTGTTACAAACAAACCGGCCCCATTTTCGATCCCATCAACTCTTCCACTTACTCCCCCCTCCCTTGCGCCGCCCAGCAGTGCCAGTGGTTGCAGGAATCCCGCTACTGCAGCCGCGACGGCCGCCGCCAGTGCATGTACACGTACGGTTACGGGGACAATTCTACCACGGCGGGCGAACTTGCCACGGAATCCGTGGCCTTCGGATCCGCGGCGGCTTCCCAACATAATAATAAGGTGCCAATTGGTTGTGGACATTCCAATAAAGGGCTGTTTGCTGGAGCCGCAGGATTGCTTGGTCTCAGCCGCGGCCCATTGTCGTTCCCTTCCCAGATGAATGTAGCCTCTTTCTCCTACTGCCTCGTTGACCGCGACTCTACAAACTCGTCCACTCTCGACTTCGGCTACTCCTCCGCCGCTGCTGCCACCGCCACCACCAGCAACAACAACAAGAAGAAGAGCAGCGGAGTCGTGGTAGTTGCCCGTTTAATTCCCCTGAAAGAGATTTTCTATTTCGTCGACTTGATCGGGATCAGCGTCGGCGGCAACAACGAGAATATGATACCGATCTCTGCATACCCAAGCGGCGGCGGCGCTGTCATCATTGACTCGGGAACAGCAATCACCAGGTTGCATAAGGACGTCTACAGTTCCTTCCGACAGCATTTCTTGAATGCGGCGGCGGCGGCCAAGCTGAGGACGGCAACCGATCCCAATGACATATTCGACACGTGTTATGATTTTTCAAACCAGGAGAGCGTGCAAGTACCGACGGTGTCGTTTCACTTCACCGACGCTGGAAATATGTTGGAGCTACCGGCGGAAAATTATCTGGTCCCAATGGACACGTCGGGGACGTTTTGCTTGGCCTTCTTTCCGACGTCGTCTTCCCTAACCATCATCGGCAACGTGCAGCAGCAGGGGATGCGAGTCACTTACGACCTTCACAACTCCCACATCCGATTCAGTCCCAATCAATGCTAGCTACCTAGCTAAAGGCCAGGCCAGGCCAGGCTGTTGAACTCGATCGATCGTATCCAGCAGGGTACTTTATAAACATTTCATAAATATATACATAGAAATACCGTCCCTCTCAATCAACACAGCACCCCTACACATGCATACTTTTCGCGTTCAAAAATCTCTCCACTTTAATTTCACCTAAATCAAATTATGCTCCATCTATACTCGTTCGTCCTTGTATTCCTATTTAAGCATGTATCACTTTCACATTATCATACTCCCTATATATATGTTTATCATGTGAACACCGTCATGTTATATACTCTGTATGTATTTTACTTTCAATTTCCTTGAGAATCATATATTCTTTCTCAACTTAAAAATTCTCTCTCTTTACATTTTTTATCAAACAGAAGCACTTTTTATTTATAAATTATGAAAAAAATACATCAAATTATAATATAAATTATATATAACTCGGTTACGTTCATCTAAGGAATATCGTTTTGATATAGAAAAAAAGACGAAAGTATGAGTAAAACATTAAAAATATACCAAAATAGGACTATCATGTTATTATTCTCAAAATAGCTAGGAGTTAAAATGTGCCTCCATTACCAAAGATGGTTATGTACATTACCAAAAAGTATAGTAATGTGCACATGTAAAGTGCCACATTACCAGCACATTACCGCAGCGCGAACTCCTATTTCGGAAATAATAATATAGAACTACTATTTTGGTACTTTTTTATGTATTAATCATATTTAGCGTTATTTATATTTTCATACATCAAAAGAAATCACCCTACATAGCACTCTAACTCACCCTAAATTACGCATTTAACACTACTCATTGTTTTTAACAAATTTAACAATTTATGGTGTCAATCCTTTCCTATCATACCCTTTACCCCTTTTTCTTTTTCTTTTTCATTAAAAATTACGGCATTCAACTCCAATCTCTCCTTCCGTTCTCCCGCACGCTATTGAACTCCACGGTCTCTCCTTCCGTTCGCCGGCGATGATGCGTCCCCACTCCTTCGCCCATGATTCCTTGGCCGATCAGCAGCGGCAATCATCAGGTTCTCTCCCATGCTAATCTTTGATGTCGCTAATCATTTTCTCTTCTCCTTCAATTTTTAATTTTCATTCCTTCATCCTTTTATTCGGATTTCCCTGTATTTTTAGTATTAATTATTGTGTTTTCTTCGTATTGAAGATTAGGTGTATGTTGTGAAATCAATTTTGAAATACCAAGTATTTGTCCCTTTTGAAAAATTAGGTCTTTTGAAAGGCATTGTGATTTTGGCAGTGTAAATATTAGGTGTTATGGTGTGGGCAGTGTGAAGATTAAATGTTAAAATTTTGTCTTGCATCCTTTTATTCGGATTTCGCTGTATTTTTAGTTTTAATTATTGTGCTTTGTGGCAGTTTAGATATATTGTGACAATGTATATATTGTGGCAGTGTATTTCAGACATTGAATTTTTGGCAGTGTATTTCAGACATTGAATTTTTGGAAGTACATATTGTGGCAGTGTAGAGAGTATATATATTGCAGTATATAATTACCATAAAAAATAAAAGGTCACGGCTTAAAATGAATTCTGCTCTTTTTTTTGGCAGTGTTGTATGTGTTGGGCACTAAATTCAATCTCAAACATATTGTGGCAGTGAAGAGCAGAGAATTTCATACTTATTTATCATGTGGCAGTGAAGAGTATACATTGCAGTATAATTCTAATTTTGGGAGTTTATTTAAGGACAAAAACGGGAATTCATCCCAAAAACTAATAGCACTGCTATTTTAAGTATTATAAGGCTATTAAAGTGCTATTTTCGTATTTCTCCCATATATCAATTGTTTACAACATTTACATATTCAGATTATGTTTAATTTGTTGTCAAACACTATCAATGTTTGATTAAAAATTCAAAACATGAAGAATTTTTATTAGGACAAAAATGAAGGAATTTTTCAAGATGATGACCTCTTCCTAAAATTACGTTTTGTGCATGGATAGGTCTCGAGAAGGCGAATCCAACTGTATATTTTATGAACAAATATGATTTATAGATTTTGAGTTGTGACATTTTTCAAAATATGTAAATTGGATAAACTCAAGAAGTGATTTATAATGTGAACTCTTAAAAAATGATTTATGGAAATAAATTATTAGATTGAATAATATTAATATCAATTAAATCAATTTTGACTCTTTCAGAGTCACACCCAAAAATATGATGCAGAAAAAATATTTCAAAAAAATAAAAAATTACACAGTTGCATAGCGCTTGACTACCCGATCGCAATGGTATAATCAGATTTCAACTTAGAGAAAGTTGACAAAAAAATATGCCCCAAGTGGAACCATTTTAGTTATAATCTTATTTTTATGTAACCTTTCACTTTTTAACAATAAATAACCAATAATTTTATAGAAGTTTTGCATTTTAACTAATTTAAAAATATTTATTTCTTTATTGCGAATACAACACATGTTTTAAATATTCACAATTACATTATGTTAATTTTATAAAAAGTTCTATAAACTTTATCAATCAAAAAACATCATTTTATATTATATTATTTTTATACTATCCACTATTTATTTTAGTTTATTTCTTTTCAAAAAAATGATTATATAAATTTAATAACGTATGAACATTTATTAATTAAATACTTTATTTCAAAACTTTTATTTTATTACATTATATTGTTTATCTTGTTACTACACATATTTTTCAACAAAGTAAATAGAACAAAGTTAGTTTAATTGAAGGATGAAAAGTGACATTATGCCACTTATACATACTCAATGTATCATTATGTAATTAGTCCTTTTTTATTTTAATTTTTATTAATTAAAACCATTTTCATTAGTACTTCATTAAATGACCATTAATTCTGCATAAATCCTTTTATTTTAAATAAACATATTGATATATATTCCACTAGTTTAAAATATACTCCGTATTTTGTTTACATAATTATATTATATGTAAAAAATATTTTTTAAACATTATAGATATTTTAAAAAATAAAGTTTTATATGATTTTTTTAAAAAAATTGATCATTTCTCTTTAACTACTTTTAAATAAAATACTTATAGAATTTTTAGTGCATGTACATTACTCCCTCCGTCCATGTATGATCTTCCCATTACGCGTTACGAGGCTTGACTGACTTTATTTTCAATTCAATTTAATTGATTATAGGAGTAAAATTTTAAAATAAAATTTATATAGTAATAAACTACATGAAAAGTTCTACAAAACTAGAGGTGACAAGACTATATTATTTTATGAAATGACTAGTAAAATTAAGCAAACAAAGTGAGTAAAGTTTGACCCTGTGAATAGTGTCTGAGAAGATCTATGATAGACAGAGGGAGTAATATTTAAAGTATAATTTTTATTTAAAAAAATATATCTTAGAGTTACAAAATATTCATATCACACATATTATGTCACTATTAGAAAATTAAAATAAATTTATATTTATAAGTTTTGAAAATTTAGAATATATACGAGCCCATGCGAAGCACGTGCGAAGCACGAGGTTAACACAGGTTATTAATTAATTTATTATCCCAAAACATGTGAATTATTGTCAATTGATATACTTAAATAATTTATTGCAATTTTCTGTTATAGATACTTAACCAAAAAATATTTTTAGTTCATCTACAGTTATTTGTAATTTATTTATTTTTTATCATTATAAATGGTCTAATCCTCGCCTTCCTCCTTATTTTAATATTGCACCTATTAAGTCCAGTCAAACTCGCCCTATAACACATGGTGTAACGGCGTCCCAATCACGACAACACGAAGCGTATTTTAAGTCAAGGTATGGTATTATATTCCAATCTTGTTAAAGATATACTCCCTCCGTCCATGTAAGATCTTCCCATTACGCGTTACGAAGCTTGACCGACTTTATTTTCAATTCAATTTAATTCATTATATGAGTAAAATTTTAAAATAAAATTTATATAGTAATAAACTACATGAAAAGTTCTACAAAACTAGAGGTGACAAGACTATATTATTTTATGAAATGACTAGTAAAATTGAGCAAACAAAGTGATTAAAGTTTGACCATGTGAATAGTGTCTGGGAAGATCTATGGTGGACAGAGGGAGTATATTATACCCTGTAGTTAAATTAGAGTAATAAAGTTTAAAGCGTACGTAGAAATGTACTCCCTCCGTTTGGAAAAACCCTTCCCATTTGATTTGGGGGCAAAAATAAGGAAGTGTTAAATTATAGTTGATTTCTAATTTTGCCCCTGATGTGATGGGTAAAAGTAAGATGTGATGGGTAGATTATTAGAGAAAAAGTATGATGTGATAGGTAGGGTATGAAAAAGTAAGGGTAAAAGTAGTTTTTTAATAGAAAGGGGAAGTGTTTTGTTGGAAGTGGAAAAAATGAAAGTGGAAGTATTTTTGAGAACGGATGGGGTAGAACACAAAGATTAGTAACCTAGCTAGCTAATGCAGATTAGGTAGGGTATTCAAATTCAATTATTGATGAACACAAGACTTTTGAAATGGCGGTCGTCTTAGATAGGGAATCAGTCAGTATACATGGAGCTGAGCTCTCTCCCATCGGTCCAAAAAAAAGGTGGAATCGCCCACCCCAGGCGCCCCCACCCCCTTGCCCGACATGAATGGTGGAGGAAGTAAATCATGGTGACTCAGTCGGCCAAGAACGCTAGACCCGTGCCCACCGCGCACAAGGAGCCTCCTCACTCTTTATGGGATTTTTGGATAGCTCCCACACTGCCGCTTGCGGGACTCGATCCCTGGTCATCGGTCCAAGATTTCACGCTCTTGACCAGCTGAGCTCTCTCCCATTGTGCTATAAAAAGAGGTCCAATATATTCATCCTCTTCGATCATCATCATCAGCAGCAGCAGCAGGTAGAGACTGCCGCCATTATACATTATATTGCCATTGTGCTACGTACAATATAATGGCGAATAATAATAATCTCTCCTGTATGCACCACCTCTGCCTCGTCTTAGCCATTTTTGGCATTGCTTCACGGGCAACCGCGAAGGAAGTACAAATGTTCGATGTCAGGGGTTCGCTCCAGAAAACACTTGACGTCTTTTCCCCTGACATCCTCGTCCCTCAGCGGGACGAAGATGATCATAAACACAACTTTTCTTCTTCTTCTTCTTCTTCTTCTTCTTCTTCTTCTACGGCTACTACTAATAATAGTACAACTACTTTGGGATATTCATTTGAGTTGCATACTCGATTGTCGGTCGAGGGAAGACCAGATGCGGAGGATTACAGGATGCTGACGTTAGCTCGACTCGGTCGTGATTCGGCCCGAGTGAGTTCGATCCTTCAGGACAATACACCGGTGGGGTTGGCCCGTGGTAGTGGTGATTACTTGGCCCGTCTCGGGGTTGGCACCCCTGCCACGTGGTTTGACCTGGTTGCCGATACCGGGAGTGATCTTACCTGTCTCCAGTGCGAACCTTGCAACCCTTGTATCCCCGGGGGCCCCAATTTCGATCCCTCCCACTCTTTCACTTACCATTCGCTCCCCCTTACCTACGGGGTGGAATACGGCGATGGATCTTACACGGCCGGCGATTTGGCCTTGGAATCCGTAACCTTCTTTGGCCGCCGCGGATCGAGCGAATTATTGCAGATCGGTTGCGGATTTGCAAACGTAGGGACGTTTGCTGGAGGCTTAGGAATACTTGGCCTGGGCCACGGCCCAGATTCGTTCCCTTCCCAGATGAATTTAGCCTCTTTCTCCTACTGCATGCCTCGTCGACAAGGACTCCAGAAACTCCTCGACTCTCGAGTTTATTATTAACTCGTCCCCTCATACACCGCCGCCCGCGGACGCTGGTGTGGTCGTTGCCTCTTTAATCCGCAAAGCAGGCCGGAGGGCGTCGAGTTTCTATTACGTTGACTTGATCGGGATCAGCATCGGCGGCGGCGGCGGGATGATACCCATCGGCGGCGCGAACACAACAACAGGCGAAGAAGGCGGAGTCATCCTCGACTCGGGAACGACATTGACCTACTTGCAGTCGAGCAACTACGATCCCTTCCGACAAGACTTCCTCAGTGCGGCGGCGCACAACTTGACGTTAGTGTTCCCACCCGCCCATCTCCCATTTGACACGTGTTTCGATTTGTCGAACCTGAGGAGGAGCGTGGGTGTACCAACGGTGTCGTTTCACTTCGCCGCCAGCAGTAACAAACCGTTGCTGCTGCCGCCTGAGAATTATCTGCTCCCGGTGGACTCCAATGGCACGCATTGCTTGGCCTTCCTTCCCATGCTGAACTCTTCCATGTCCATCATCGGAAACGTGCAGCAGCAGGGGATGCGAGTCACCTACGACCTTGCCAACTCCCAGATCCGATTCAGACCCAATCAATGCTAGCTATCTAGTGGCTCCATATATACATACTTTTATCTTCTATCTATGCCTAGCTATATAAACACCTACATGTCCATCACTTCTTTCACATTATCATATATATATGTCAACTCCATCACATTATGCATCTTTTTTGTTATCCTATTTATTGGAGTATTATAACAAAAATCATCAAGAAATCATAATAATAGTAACAATGATATTTAAGTTGAAAAAAAACAAGGCGTAACTATACAAACCAACGTGGAGACATAAGCAACATCTATATGCACTTAGCGGTTCCAAATAACGAACTAAAATTTTAGTGTCGAAATTTATAATTTGGTCTCATTATTCTAAATTTGTTGAAATTGAGCTCTTTTTGTACTTTGACTTTGGAATTAAATGTGTGACCCCAAAACCATCCAAATTTACCAATCTCCACTTTATAATAAAACTGTTGAAATATTAGAATAATAATATTGCTCCTTGAATTATGAAGTACATGATAGAGTATATATAGGAGAGACTCCTAACACAACTAGGAATAGAGAATGGAAACTAACTAACTTACAACATCTACCACAAATAGGATTAGGAAACTGACTAATAATGAAACACTACCATAACCAATACTACAAGAAGTACTATTAGTATTATTGTCTAACATCCCCCCTCAAGCTGAACTCTGGCTGAAGCAAGAGGAAGCTTGGACACTAGCTGGAAACTGGAAACTTTGAGAAGAGAGAAATCTGACATGCGCCGGTGGCTGCTCACGTCGTTGGAGAAGAGAGAAGTGTGACGCGCGCCGGTGGCTGCTGACGTTGTTGGAGAAGAGAGAAGTCTGACGCGCGCCGGTGGCTGCTGAGGTCGTTGGAGAAGAGAGAAGTCTGACGTGCACTGGTAGCTGCTAACGTCGTTGGAGAAGAGAGAAATTGACGTGCGCTAGTAGCTGCTGACGTCGATGAAGAAGAGAGAAGGTTGACGTGCGCTTGTACCTGCTGACGTCGAAGAATAATAGAGAAGGCTACTGGAAGTGCCTGTTTGACTGAAGATTCTTGACATTTTTTGTCTTTTTCTTGGATCCGGGCAATGCCCTATTTCCTTCTTGAATGGGTGAGTTGTAGAGGTCTTATTTCCTCTTTCACCACTTCCCTTCTTGGCTTTGCTTTTGTGCTGATTTACTTTGGATTTTTATTGGTTCAATAGGAGAGAAAGAGAAGGGAGGTTGATGATTAGAATAAGTGATTCTAGAGAGAAAAAATAGATTAAGAATTGGTGATGGAAAAAAAAATTGGGTCTGAGATTCTGATATGGTGAATTGGAGAGAAACAACAATCATTTTTTTTTTGGCATTCAAAAAAAAAAACAATCATTTTTTTTTCCTTTTTTTAGAAGACAGGATGATCTGAGAGAGTTTGTAAGAAGTTGGGTTTTTTTTTGAAGAATCATGGAGATGACAAGACAGAAGTTCCTCCTTTGATAGTTTTTTTATTTCAACAAGGGTTTTTTTTCTTTTTTTTTTCATTTGAATGGAGAAGTTGATTTGAGGATAAAGAAGAAAAAGAAAATAGAGGTGAATAGGGTGGAGCTGCCGTCGCCGGAATTACCGGCGGCGGCGGTGGGGGCAAAGAACTTTTTTTTTTTTCTAAAATAAAATGTGTTGAAATATTGGAAATAATAATATTGCTCCTTTGAATTATGGGGTACATGATAGAGTATATATAGAAGAGACTCCTAATACAACTAGGAATAGAGAATAGAGACTAACTAAAATACAACTTCTATCATAACTAGGAATACTTAATATTATTGTCTAACATCCCCCCTCAAGCTGAACTCTGGCTGAAGCAAGAGGAAGCTTGGACACTAGCTGGAAACTGGAAACTTCGAGAAGAGAGAAATCTGACGTACGCCGGTGGCTGCTGACGTCGTTGGAGAAGAGAGAAGTCTGACGTGCGCTGGTAGCTGCTAACGTCGTTGGAGAAGAGAGAAATTGACGTGCGCTAGTAGCTGCTGACGTCGATGAAGAAGAGAGAAGGTTGACGTGCGCTTGTAGCTGCTGACGTCGAAGAATAATAGAGAAGGCTACTGGAGGTGCCTGTTTGATTGAAGATTCTTGACATTTTTTATCTTTTTCTTGGATCGGGCAATGCCCTATTTCCTTCTTGAAGGGGTGAGTTGTAGAGGTCTTATTTCCTCTTTCACTACTTTCCCTCTTGGCTTTGCTTTTGTGCTGATTTACTTTGGATTTTTATTGGTTCAACAGAAGAGAAAAAGAAGGAAGGTTGATGATTAGAATGAGTGATTTTAGAGAGAAAAAGTAGGTTAAGAATTGGAGATGGAAAAAAAAAATTTGGGTCTGAGATTTTGATATGGTGAATTGGAGAGAAACAACAATCATTTTTTCTCTTTTTTTGAGAAGATATGATGATCTGAGAGAGTTTGTGAGGAGTTGGGGGTTTTTTTTTGAAGAACCATGGAGATGACAAGAGAGAAGTTTCTCCTTTGATAGTTTTTTTTGTGTGATTTCAACAGGTTTTTTTTTCTTTTTTTTCATTTGAATGGGGAAGTTGATTTGAGGATAAAAGAAGGAAAAGAAAATAGAGGTGAATAGGGTGGAGCCACCGTCGCCGGAATTACCGGCGGCGGCGGTGGGAGCAAAGAACTCTTTTTTTAGGTCACCAAGAGCAGTGACTCTGATACCATGTTGAAATATTAGAATAATAATATTGCTCCTTAAATTATGAAGTACATGATAGAGTATATATATGAGAGACTCCTAACACAACTAGGAATAGAGAATGGAAACTAACTAATATACAACATCTACCACAAATAGGATTAGGAAGTTGACTAATGATGAAACACTACCACAACCAATACTACCATAAGTAGTATTATTATCATTGTCTAACACAAACTTAATAAGTTTGTCAAGATAATGGAATGTGTCCAAATAGTAGAGTTGTCATATTATGGAATTAATTGGCCGTATTGTATACTACCTCCGTCCCAGAGTATTTGTCCACTTTCATTTTTACACACCATCAAATATACTTCTTTAATCCATTTTATCTTGTAATTTGTATATTGAAAAATTATAGAAATTATATATTAATAATCTATATGTTAAGACAAATCAAACAAGATCACACATGACTATATATAGGCTTACACATTGAGAGAATTTGATGAGTCAAAGTGCTTAGATGAACAGCTCCAAAAGTCAAAACTTGACGAATACTCCGGGACGGAGAGAGTACTAAATTGGAATATAGAAATAGGTCATCTGGTAGATCTAAAGGGTTCTGAACTCAATTGAATTGATAAGCATATTCGAATCACCACTGAGTTAAGTTTGAGGATTTAAGGCTGGTGGGATGAGCTTAAAAACCCCTCAGTTCCCACCAAGATACAGTGACTCCCGAAAACGTTGCGAGTAGCAAATTTAATATGCTTTAATGATTCTTGATCTATGGAATAATCGCCTATGTAAGAGTGAAGTGCGGTCGCTTCAACAAAACGATTTTGGGCAAATCTTGTCTGACATTCTCATAGGACCAGACACGTGTTCCATGATCAAAAAGGGCACACCCATGAGAACGGAACGATAATTGGTTGAAACTTGTGTATGGTATATTGTCGCTTACACAAACGACAGTACAGTTCAAATACATCAAGCTCTATTGAACAACCAATAAAGAAGGTATACCCTACAAGGAGTAGGTTCAAAGGCATGAAAGCCCACATATATTCTTGCAGTCTTTCCATGATAGGGTTATTGCCAAGCACATGAATCACTTTTCATTCATTACTTATTTAAAATATAAAAATGACAAAAAATGATTTGCCACTTCAAAGCTCGTTAATCTACTGACTTGTCACACGTTGACGAGACTATTTTTAATCAAAAATTCTATAGTTGACCTAATGTTCACCATGGACCTACATATGAGCAAAAATAAATATTTTTTTATTACTTAAATAAGCATATATTTTTTAATAAAAAAATTTAAAAAGATATGTAAAAACATTTACAAAAATAGTATGCACTCAAAGTGCATCAAAGAAACACTCATTTTTATTTGGATAAAATAAATAACATCATGTGACATTCTAATTGGTTAAAATAACTCGTTACTCGTAATTTCAAAGAGACAAAAGGATAACGGAGGTCTATACACGCAGTCTTTTAGCGTAACGAATGTCGTAACTAATAATGGCACTACCACATTTTCATATGGGACCTCACAAGATTCGACGTAATTCTTACGGAATAGAAATTCTCCTTGACTGGCCCTAATATTGATTTTTTCAAACTCACTAGGGAGTATATGACTCCTTGGTCAAGATACTCCCTCCGTCCCATTTTATAACGCCTGTTTCGATTTACGATGTTTGACTGAAGTTATTTTCAAATCATTTTATATGACAAATGGTATAAAGTTAAAATTAAAAATTACATATCAAAATACTATATCAAAAGATCTACAAAACTAGTAGTGACAACAATATTTTATTTTATCAAATTGCTAACGAAAATTGAGAAAGAAAGTGAAAGAAGTTTGACCCTGTGAATAGTGAATATGCATTATAATTTGGGACGGAGAGAGTACCATATACTTTCTTTGCCTCTCTAGATCATTTATTTTTGGGTAGGCTATGATGTTTAACTATAATTTTTTTTAATTTATTTTATTTGAAAATTGTTGTGAAATTAAATAGTAAGAATAACATATTTAAAAATTACATCAAAAGTTCTACAAAATAAGTGATGATAAAACCATTTTTATCAAATAATCAAAGAAAATATATTTAAAAATGAATAAAACTTAACTTCGTGAATAGTGACTTGAAATAACCTAAACACACTAAGGGAGTAAAAAGATATCAAAAAATAAAAAACAGAGGACACTACAAAAAATTCAAAGTGGATAGATACTTTAAGACTGAAAAAGTATTATACGGAGTATAACGAGTAGTCATCAAATTTTTTTGGGAGGATTAAACTATGTGTACTCCTAATTTGGTATTTGTGTAGACTACTTTCTTATTTTTTTTAATACGAGTATAAATTAAAATTTAAAGACTGATCTACTAAAAAAAAGTTTTTAAAAAAACAGAAATTTTTCGGAAGATCAACCGAGTGCATGCAACTTGC